TCTTGAGTTCTAATTTGATCGCACTGTGGTCTGAGATAGTTTGTTAGGATTTCAATCTTTTGCATTTGCTGAGGAGTGTTATACTTCCAATTATGTAATCAGTTTTACAGTAAATCCCACATGGCTATGAGAACAATAAATATTTTGTTGCTATCAGGTCCTCTTGATCCAAAGATGAGTTCAGGTCCTGAATATCCCTGTTAATTTTCTGTTTCAATTATCTAATACAGTGAGGTATTAAAGTTTCCCACTATTATTATGTGGGAGTCTGAATCTCTTTGCAGGTCTCTAAGCACTTGCTTTATATATCTGGGTGTGCCTGTATAGGGTACATGTATATTTAGAATACTTAGCTCTTTTGTTGAATTGAACCCTTTATCATTATGTAATGCTCTTCTTCTTTTTTATCTGTGTTGGTTTAAAGTATGTTTTGTCAGAAACTAGGATTGCAACCACTGCTTTTTTCTGTTTTCCATTTCCTTGTTAAAATTTCCTCTGTCCCTTTTTTTTGAGCCTATGTGTGTCTCTGCACATGAGAGGTTCTCTTGAACACAGCATACTGATGGGTCTTGGCTCTTGATCCAGCTTGCCATTCTGTGTCTTTTAATTTGGGCATTTAGCCATTTACATTTCAGGTTACTATTGCTTTGTGTGAATCTGATCCTGTTATGATGCTGGCTGGTTATTCTGTAGACTTGCTTATTTAGTTGCTTCATAGTGTCAGTGGTCTGTGTCCTTCAGTATGTTTTTGTAGCAGCTGGTAACAGGTTTTCCTTCAGGAGCTTTTGCAAGGCAGGCCTGGTGGTGATGAATTCCCTCAACATTTGCTTGTCTGAAAAGGATCTTTTTCTCCTTCCCTTATAAAACTTAGTTTGGCCAGATATGAAATTCTAAATTAGAAATTCTTTTTTTTTTTTTTTTTGAGATGGAGTTTTGCTCTTGTTACCCAGGCTGGAGTGCAATGGCATGATCTCAGCTCACCGCAACCTCTGCCTCCTGGGTTCAGGCAATTCTCCTGTCTCAGCCTCCTGAGTAGCTGGGATTACAGGCACACACCACCATGCCCAGCTAATTTTTTGTATCTTTAGTAGATATGGGGTTTCACCATGTTGACCAGGATGGTCTCGATCTCTTGACCTCGTGATCCACCTGCCTCGGCCTCCCAAAGTGCTGGGATTACAGGCTTGAGCCACTGCGCCCGGCCGGAAATTCGTTAAGAACATTGAATATGAGCCCCTACTCTCTTCTGGCTTGTAGGATTTCTGCTGAGAGGTCCACTGTTAGTCAGATGGGTTTCTTTTGTGGGTGATCTGGTCTTTCTCTCTGGCTTCCCTTAACAGTTTTTCTTTCATTTTGACCTTGGAGAATCTGATGATTTTGTGTCCTGGGGTTGACCTTCTTGTGTAGTATCTTTGCTGGAGTTCTCTGCATTTCCTGAATATGAATGTTGGCCTGTCTTGCTAGGCTGAGGAAATTCTCCTGGATGATATCCAGAAGTATGTTTTCCAACTTGGTCCCATTTTCCTCATCTCTTTCAGGTGCTCCACTTAGTCATGGGTTTGATCTCTTTACATAATACCAAATTCTCGGAGGTTTTGTTCATTGTTTTAATTGCAACTTTTTGTTGTTCAAACTTATAGCATATAAGTAATGACAACATTGTTTAAAAGGCTATTTTGGATCTTCATTTTCAACTTCCATTTCTTTGTTGTTGTTTTATTCTCCTGCTGCTTTCTCAGAGGGTTTTTTAGCATAACATTTCTACTCCTCGCCAAGTCAAGGGGAATGCACCAGGGTGCCATATGCTCTGAGCCACCCTTGCAGCAGCAGGGATAGATTTGCTCATGCTTCAACCTTTCTCTCGAGTTTTCCTTTAGGTCAGGTGTATGAGGCCTGGGTGAATGTTGTGACAGTGGAACAGGGCATCATAGACAAGTGATTCACTCATTTCACGTGTTAACCTCCCCCACCCCCTGGGGCTGTGAGTCAAGGACAATGTGAAAGCTACACAGAATAAATCCTTTAGAATTTCTATCCCCCTGTTAAGAGACATGCAAGAAACAAAATTATATAACTGCATAATAGTGTTCCTATTATGGATCTGATTGAGAATTCTTAACAGATTAGCAACACCCACAGTGGACATTAATATGTATAATTATCCTTTGTGGTGTATCTAGCAACTTTAAAAATTATGTCTGGGTTTTGGAATTACTTGCTTTCAAAGTTTCTTTTCCAAAAATGTATTCTGGGAACCAAACTACAAGATTTCCTGGTTGCTCAGAATGTAATAAATACTACTACTAATATATTTCCAAAAATATAGTATGGTAAATATATTGCCTCTGTAAGGTGATAAACTGCAAATCTATTAAATAGCTGGTCCTGTCTTACTAAACTAGGAGACCAGTAATGGTATTATGTTTTCACTTCAAAATCATTATTCTGTTATACCTGTTGGCCATTTTTGAATTGCAGAATGTCATGTAAATTTTTAGGATTACACAAAACAATCATCTTCTCTCTCAGTGCTCACGTACAATAAATAGACAGTTCTGCTTTCCAATACAGTTTTTCACTTGGTTAATGTAGTCATACAGAGTGGAAGACTTGGATTGTTACATTTTGGTTTGTGGGAGAATAACCTATCTTTTAACATTCATATTGCTTTTTTCTTTAGAGTCATATTCAGATTTCAGAACATCTGTGACCATTACTCCTGTTAACCAACCAAAAATGGTTTCTTCTAGATTGTGTTTCAGGGAATAGTTGTATTTTTCTCTAACAATATATAGTAACCTTGAATTGTATTTTTAATCTTTCATCTGAGTGAGTTACTAGGTAGGGTTTTTAGGTCTCTATTTATTTTTAATTATTCATAAATCGTTTCAGTAAATAAGCAAATGGAATCAAGTTCCAAGCAAATAATACTCATTAAGTTGACAACTGCATAAAATAATGAGATTATAAAATGGCTATTATTTTCATATACCATGTTGAGAATATATAAGAAAGGAATGGGTATCATAAACCAGAAATTTGTTTTCTTCTAGTATAATTTTAACATTTATGTCAGCAAGGCTACTAGAGTGTATTTCTCAGACCTATAAGAGACTCTGGTCCCAAGAAATACTGCAAAGTAGTTATACTTTTAAAAAGTAGTAATGAAATAACAGAATTATTAAAGCATGGTAAGTATTATAAGGAATGTACAATTTGAAACTAGAACAGTACTTACCGAAAAAGCTTTCAACAGGCAATAACTTGACAATTCAGGCAACATTATCCAAAGGAAAGTTAAGTATACAAGAACTTACTTAAGGATAATTGAGCAGTGTCTAGAGAAATTTTTGGATGTCACAAGTTGGTGGCAGTGCTATGACATCTAGTGTGTAGAAGTCAAGTATGCTGATAAACACCCAGAACACACAGGACAGTCCCACACAAAAAAGAATTATCCAACCAAAAAGGTCCTGAGGGCCGAGGTTGAGAGGCCCTGGACTACAGCAACTATACTATAAATCCAACATGGACTGTCTCCCAAATAAAACTGGTTGACCTCCGTGAATTTCACACAATAAAATTTTTATTAAATGTGGTAAGATGGCAGTGTGATACTGTAGATTTTGTACTCAAAGTCTTTGTCTTTTCTAACTTTTAAAATGTTTTAAAATTAAGATATGGCATATCAATATTCCAAAGTAATATTTAGGGAAACTATATGCTTCCTTCTTAAGATGAAACTACAGTCTACTTATGAAACATGGGGAAGTTTGCCCAAACATGCTAACTTGGTTTTCTTATTTGTGATTCTGTCGTCACAATTTTTTCTTTTACTGTTGATAAGATTTACAGGCAAATAATTGGGTGACATGGTATTTTAAGGTGTTTTTCTGCCTAATATCTTAAATGTGGCATTAACTTAATTCCTGAGAAAACACATAATATTCATGGTAAAATAATATGGATTACAAGGGTCTTATGCAAGTGTTCTTTTGATATCATAAAACTTGTGACTCTTAAACACGAACTCTGCCAGCACAGAGCCCTGAAAGGACCAAATATGCACATGATGAAATACACAAAACATCTGCTCCAATCTTCATCTAGTATACACATATTTTTATTTCTAGGAGATCTTTAAAAAGTAAAAGAAACCCAAGCCTTTATTTAGCTCCTCACTGACCTTTTTCCTTGCACTCTTTCACACAGGGATGTTCACAAGTTTTGAGAACAAATTTAAGAGTTCAAAGAAAACGAGAGTAAATCCTGGAGAGCAGAAGACATTTCAAAGTGGTAAATGTAGGCTAAAAATGTAGTATCTGAAACTGAGGGGCTCCGATCCTCTACTGTAAACATGGACCTACAAATTGCAATGAAGTATCACAGTAGTGTCTAATAGGTAAGACTCAGCATGAGCAGGTAATTGGAATTCATGTTTTCATTTCCTAAGTATAATCTGTATAAACATATTTGCATTAAAATGACCTGTTAGGAAATATTTACCAAATTAAACAAGATTACTTTAAAAAATACAACCAAAATCAAGAGTGAGTGAAAACACTGAAAGTCGGAACTATGCTTAAAATCTCTACAGATTCTTTCATTGGTAAAGTTGCCAAGTTCACAATGTATTCTCTTATTTCATTGATAGCCTGGTTGCATTCCACATTGGGAAGTAGTTACACAGCAAGATGACTCTACGATAAAATAATTTTTATTTATTTTTGACTTTGGCATTTGTCTCAACTGACTATGAAGAAAGGCTTAAAAAGGCTAACAGTAACCTTTCTCCTCTTATTCAGTTTTCTACCTTGATCTGGTGACTTTGAGCAAGCTACCTAACCCTTTAGTGATAAAATGGAATTGGTTCCAAGAATGGCCTATAGTTTCAAACCATGTCATTTCAGCTTCAGATGTCAAATAAAAACCATATTATTTCCTAACATTGAAAAAAACAATAATATTCTCTCTTTGAAGATATATGGTTGGTAACTTACTCTTTTAGTCAGCTGAGTATCCATCATGAAATTGTGCACGTGTTTTTCTGCTTTGGTAAGTTCTAGCTTCCTTGCCACTACAGCTACCACCAGGGCTGTGCAACCAGCACCCTGAAAACAAGGAGAGAAGAGAACCCCAAAGCATTACTACTTTCTGTTTCAGACATATTAGAAAATGTTTTGTATCAAATGCAAAAGTTTCTCACCATTAAAAAAATTGTCTTCAATAAGTTTTACAGAAAACGTGTGATCAACAAATGTAAGCAATGTGCCTTAAACTGGGATTAAAAATGTAGTTTACATATTTTAAGAACAAAAGCATATTTGGAAAACACATTTCCTGAAAAGAAATAAATGGCCTAAAAGCAACTTGGTGAATTTTTGGAGACTTCTTAAAAAACAGAGCAAATCAGTTATATATCTATAATTATAATAGAAACAAGTAACAAATGAGTAGATTAGCATAAATGTCTATGGAGTAGAACTAAGGATTTTTTCCTAAAGAATAAACCTCTAATTTTAAGATGAGAGCAGCAGGCCTTCAAGCTGATGAACTGCAATGCACCAGGAATGAAAGTAATAAATTATCTCAACATATACATAGCTTCAGAGTGTTCCACATACACAAGAGGAAGGATAACAGGAAGATCACAGTGATCTTAACCTGAGCAACAGAGACATATGAAGTGCTGAAGGTAAGGGGTAACCATTATACTATTTTACAGGTTTACTAATATGACACTAGGAAAGTCATGGGTCATCCTTATTTTGAAAAAAAAAAAAAAAAAAAAAAAAAAAAACCAACAGTGTTCCTTTCTGAATTACAGACTGCTGTGTTGATCTCTTAGAAAAAGAGACTATGTAGTACTCTAAGAATTATAGTGCTACTGCTCTGTGATCAAGGTGTACTTATTCCAAGTTGTGAGAGTCTTCTTTGCTGAAAAACGGCCAACTACTTGCAGGCCAGGGGACAAATCTGGGGCACCATTTGGAGGGCCCAGGCAAGGTCATAGTGCTGCAGCCACTTCATCAGTCCTGGGCACAGCAAACCTCCAAGCAGGGAAGGGGGCACATGAGGAACTACCTGAGGGGTCTGTGAATGGGAAGTCACACCTCCAGACAGAATCCCAACCCAGAGAGGCCCAAAGAGCCATAGACATTGCCCAACTAGTCTCAAAAAACAGATAACAATGTAAATGGCTGGGCACTGGCAGAACCCACTGGAGAGATGCACAGAAAGTAGATGTGATTTAGCTATTCAGTTAGTTATAGACCAACGAATGCATCTTTGGGCTTACTGAATGAGTTGCTGAAACAAATCTGGCAGGAGGAACAAGATTGAGAAGAAAAGGAGAGAATAAATACACTGACTGACGATTATGATCATGAAAACTTGACCACGATGATCAGCCAATACTGCTTTAATATATTTCCAGAGGACTTAAATAGCCTGTTCCATCTAGTTATATGAAGAAATCAGTATCCTCAGAAAGAAAGTGCTACAGATCACATGATCAGAGAAAGAGGTTACCAAGTATTTAGACATTATCTGATTTAGCCCTCTGATTTTACAGATGAGACAACTAAAGCAGAGTAAATTATTATTCACTTTATGAGTATATAAAATATTATTCAGTTACAGAACCCTGATTAGCATTGATATATTTCCTACTCTTCATCTCATAATATCTATATCTATATTTAGGATCACATACAGTTGAATCTCCATATCCATGGGTTCCATATCCATGGATTCAACTGGGTTGAAAATCTTTGGGGAAAAAAATGGATGGATGCATCTGTACTGAACATGTATAGACTCTTTTCTTTTGTAATTACTCAAACAATAACAATATTGTTTAGCAACTACGTGTACAACATTTACATTGTATTTAGTATTGGTAATCTGGAGATTACTTAACGTACACAGGAGGATGTACCTAGGTTACATGAAAGTACTACACTATTTTATAAAGGACGTGAGCATCCATGGATTTTGGTATTCATGGCAGGAAGTGGGGTTCTGCAACTGAACCCCCGTGGATACAATGAATGACTGTATATTCTTACTTGTGATTATGCCATAGCTGTGATGCCTATGGAGCACTGTATTTCAAAGCAAGACAGGAAATTCAAATTTATGTTTTATGTGATAAACTCTTAAAGTACGACTGTCTAAAAACTTGAGCAACATGGTTAGTTATCAAAATAATTAACATTGTTTCTATTATAACTGGCATAACTTTTAAATTGGTAGTTTTTAACCTTGAATATAAGTAGAATCACTTGGAGAGTTTGTAAAATTCCTAGTGCTGAGACTGTATGCCTCACAGCAAATCTTCACCTCCAGGTGTCTGAATTTTTTTAAAAAACTTTCCAGGTGATCCCAGTGTATAGTCACTGCTTTAGATAGAGGAGGATATGGAGTGACTATGACAAACTCCATACACCTTCTATTAAAACAAGAGGGTCAAAGTTCTTATCAGAATTATCTGACTGGCTTATGAAGACATTCAAGAAATGATAAGTAAAGTAAAGGCAGACAGTGTGATGTTATTTTGATATTTTGTGCCATATGTAGACAATGAAAGTGAAGTATTTTAGAGCTGGGTACTAATGAAAGAGAAGAATGGCCTTTAGAAGCATCTCTACCCATTTTATTGACTTTCAAACATCTACCCTGAAGTCTAAGGAGTTCTAACAGGCTGGTGAGACCAAATCAGTGACCACCCACAATTGCCATCGGCATCTACCTGCTGTCTGGTACAGCACATGCCCGACAAACCCAGGCTACCCTTTTGCAGATATGCTCCTAGCTACTCCTCAATCACTGGTAACGTGGTGGTTCAAGGCAGCAATGATTCGTTAATAAGCAGAGGTCATAAAATTCTGAGGGGCTCCTAACTACTAGAAAGACAGCTATGAGAGGGTAGTTGGTCCAAGAAGTTGAATACTATTCTCCCCTGGCAGGTGACCTCTGCTGAGATCTTTCTGGAAAGAAATCATAATCCTAACAGGAGTGGAAAATCATTGCTATCAAGAGCCTTGGAAAGTGGATTTTTATTTTTGTTTATTCTCAGGCTCTGTTCTTTTCTACTACTTTCTGCTACTGGCCCATTTCTCACTAGGTGTCCTCTCACTCACCAAAAGACACGCGCGTTAAAATGAGTACCTCTGTTGCAGATTGGAAAAGAAAGTAAATCTGACAATTCAGTAATTATCAAGACTATTATCTACATACCCCACTCCATTATCCTAACTCTGCCCCTTTAAGTTATGCCTCCAGAGCCACTTTTTGTTCAAATACAAACCCCTTAACTCATTAAGTTTTATTTTAGTAAAGAAAACCATAAACCTATACCTCCCTAGATTCTTAATAAGTCATAAGAGAATCTTGATATGTATAGAATCACATTTCAAGAAAGTAACCTTATTTTTTAATTTTTAGAGTTAGGCAAGATGAAACTGGCTCACTTCCAAAAGCTTTCTAGGTTCAAGGTAAATTCCTGCCAACACATTCATAGTTATAGTAATTTAAGTAATGGCATAATATTATTGTCCACCCAGTGTCTATTTCCAGGACCATTCTGTTTCATAAAGTGAAATAAGAATGGAAATAATTATGATTTTACAACATTTTCTCCAAAGCTTGTCACCACCACAATCGATGTAGAAACAGTTGGGACTAACATATGTTACTCTCTGAAATTAAGATCCCTGTATGCATTTAACAAGATGAGTCATATTCCTTTCACCAAAGTCAGAAAATGTATCCTGGTTACTTTTCTCTCATTTCATTTATCTTCTTAGAAATAAACCTAAGCAAAATCACTAACCTGCCACTTCAAGATGCTTGGGCACCTAAAACCAAAGTGAAGAAAATGCAGTGTATTTAGAAAGTCAATATAGTAAAAGCAAAGGTTTAGGTTTCCTTTGGTTTGTTTATCACCTTTCCTTCTAATATTGAAAGAGAGAAAAAGGGAAAAGTTAAGGGGGGAGAGGGAGACGGAGAAAGATTTTGCTTTAGAAAAGATAAGTAAGGACAAGTGTTGTTACTGCTCACTACCCTAAGCCAAGCCAGATCAAACTGAATAGACGAATAAGAATTAGTTCCTATTACCCATGTACCTCTAGGGAAACCCCAACATGTGGATAGTCTTAGGTGCTGCCAAGTTAACATTAAAATGTAGTGCTTTTCTCCACTACAGCACAGAAACTGTAAGCCATGTTGAGCCCTTAGAGGAAAAAGAAGTTTGGGTATCCCATTTCCCTCAAAATCATGTATCACATATTTGAAAAATTCAAACAAGTGACATATTTTTACCCTAAATCACCTACTTATGTGGATCCTGCAAATAATTCCAAGATTCATTTTGAAAGACCATTTTGGGATCAAGCTTTAATAACGTAAGGATACAAGCCTATGAAAAGGAGAAATTCCTTCAATAGCACACTGGGAAAAGGTTTTGATTATTTCAACACTGAAAAAGACATCTTCCAAAGATTCAGCATAATTAAAAAAAATTTTTTGAGACAAAGTCTCACTCTGTTGCCCAGGCTGGAGAGCAGTGGTGAGATATCGGCTAATTGCAACCTCCACCCACTCTGTTGCCCAGGCTGGAGTGCAGTGGTGAGATACCGGCTCATTGCAACCTCCACCTCCTGTGTTCAAGTGATTCTCCTGCTTCGGCCTCCCGAATAGCTGGGATTACAGGCACACACCCCTATGCCCAGCTAATGTTTGTATTTTTAGTAGAGATGGGGTTTCACCATGTTGGCCAGGCTAGTATCGAACTCCTGACCTCAGCGGATTTGCCCACCTTGGCCTCCCAAACTGCTGGGATTAAACATGTGAGCCACCACACCCAGCCTGAAATTTATAATTTTTAAAGAAATTCCAGAATCTTTACCACTACAGAGAATGGCTCTGATAAACACTTGTGTTTAAAATATTCTAGTCTTAAAGTATTCTCCTGTGGGTTTTATTATAACTCCTAAAAGTTCAAAATTCAGTTTGATAGCCAGTTTGTTAGACTAAGTAGAATATTCACCTATAATTAAAATTTACTAAAATAGCTAATTTGAAAGAAATCATGCTTTTATGTAAATATTAATAAAACAGCATTGAGATCTTTAACAAATCAGCTTGCCCTCCAAAAGAAAGGTAAAATAAATATCTGAACATATTACCTGTTTTTCTGTCCCTGGAGCTGACTGACTCAATCTACTAGAACCGTGACTACATTTTCACTATACTTGCCAGACAAAAATAATTATTCTTTCATAAAAATAGGTGAAACAATCAATTCTAGCAAATAACATTTTATAAAGCACTCTGCTTTAATATTACATCCCACTGGACTTTTGCAAGGTTTCCTCAGGTCATAAAAATAAATAAGATTCAAGGGAAGTTTTGAAGACAAATTCTATCAAAAATGCCCTATCTTTGAGTATTTTCAAAGTATATGCTACTAGAGGATGGATATCAATTTCAGATGTCCTCATTGTGAGGGGAGAGTGTGTGGTGTTTGAGACCAGTGATTAAGCCTGGGCTGGGGCAACTCAAGCCTCCTTTACAGTGATTTGCTTGTTCAGATCATTCTTGTACTTTGCAGGTCAGAAAGAAGGAAATACTGCATAAAACTGGTCATCAACAATGAGTCATCCCTGGGTTTAAATCTCCTGATTAGCAACAGTGCCAATGTGAGTGCAGGTACTTCAGAGACAGGAAGGACAGCTCTGCCAGTTAAAACTGCGGATAGTTTAGAAAACTTAGGTGAAATTGTGGAGTCAATGAGCTGTGTGCTAAAAGGTCACAAGTTCCAGCTCTACTTTTCCGTGCCCAGAAGACAGAGGCTGTCATATTTCTTAAGAAATTTTTTTGGGATCCACTTATGAAATTTCCTGGAAGGAAGTGAAGGTCCCCAAGAAAGGACATTGCTGGGGAATTTAGCCTTGTGACTGAAAAGGCTCATCATCTCCTCTGGCTGCTCTGCACAAAATAGAAACTACTGTAAGCACTTAAAGATACCCTCCCGTGACTGGGGCTTTTTTTGATAAGATTCAGTGAACACACCAGAACCAAAAAGCAAACTGAAAGTTAAAACCTCTTCAAAATTATTTGATACTAAACACCTAATGTCAAATTGTATGAGACATTTTTAAAAATCCTAAAGTGTTTTGCACATTTTCAAACATGCAACACCAAGGAATGGCTTCAGATCAGTTTCTCAGGATTTCTATGACCACTGGCAGGGGAAACAAATCCTCAAACGGAAATAGAGAAAGTTTTAGGAAGAGGAATATAATCAGACCTTAGGTTTTACATTCTTTCGTATCCATCATTTCTCTTTATGAGCTCCAGCTAATTCGTGCTGTTTTGGAACACCCTCTTACTGACTTAACAGGGTAGTGTCATTGCTCTTCAGGATGCAAACTGTTTAACTCATGAAGTCACCAGGTAATATTAAATCAAGATTTCCCTGGCAGAAGGCAAATTTAATGCGGAGAGGATTATCATCAAATGTTCCTAAGGAAAGGTGAGGCTGTATAAAGGCTTCTGTCCTCAACTGACATTTTTTTTGTTGCCTGGATAAATTTTTAAAAGTTAATTAGTGTAGTGATTTTCAAATTGCTATGAACTGCAAAAGCTTTATGCATTGCTTTTGTTTACACAGAACTACTAGTAGGATGGAAGAAACCTAAATCACCCACATCTGAAATGTCCTCAGTTTTCTTGAGGGATTCATGCTAGATGTTGTGAAAGTCTAGTGGTTTATAAATCGCTATTAGAGAACCATTTATTGGACGACAACCTGCATCCCTGGGAATTAACAGGTATTACTCCATATTTAAAGATAATTAAGCCAAAAAACCAGTAATCTATGCTCCAGTCAAAAGGCCAATAAGAGTCACCATAAATCTACTCTTTGCTACTCTAGAAATTTTACTCTTTGCTACTCTAGAAATAGAGAAGCAAAAATAAAAAAATGAGCAAACTTCATTTTAGTGGAAGAAGAAAGATACCCTTACCTACGAGGCTATTTTTCACTCTTGAAACAATCATATATATTCATAGCTTTCAGGATGTGTTATATCTATATGTCTAGGAAGATAAAATAACTTTGTAAATGCTAAGTAAAATAATTACTTCATTGGAAAATTGGAGATATTGAGAAACTAACTGGTACTGTCCAAAAGCTAAGAAAAGACACTGTGATCTAACAATATTACCTGCCTACCACCTTCAACCAAAAGTACAAAGTTATTTAGAAATCATCCCATTGTTTATCATGACGTTTACAATAGTAAACCCTCAGGTCCTCAGTACTTCCTCAGATAGTGGAAGGATAGAAGAATAAAGAGAAAATAAGTAATTACAACCATAATAGTTTTCTCTTGAAGGGTAGTGAGTGATTTTCTTCTATTAGGCAATCCCATGACCTATGCTGTAAAAATATTATAAATAAGAGACCTTGGTCTCTTGAGCTTTAATTCCCATATTGGTCTTGGAAATGCAGAAATTTCTACATTCTCCCTAGGAGTGTCTAGGTCACTTCCATTCACATTCCCTTGATCCCTAAGGAGCTGATGGGAGTGTAATTAACTCCCAGAAGTGAATCCCAGGTAGACTGCCCTGTAGCCTGACTCCATGGGAATCTGCTTGGTCTAGGAGTAGAGATAATCCAACTCTACATAGCATTTCAAATAGGTTACTCAAAGATTAGTGAATTTCTCTGTATGCAAGTAAACCAATTTTGATCAAGTCAATTAGGAAGTAAGTCTGTTCCTTATGAAGGAGAGGGAATAGAGCTCCTCAGCCTAAGAACAGAGGGACTGCTTTACCATGAGCTAAGAGGGCTGGAACGAAGTCACTGTAAATTCCATTACATGTAACATTTTTGTGTCCACATATATTTAATGGTACTATAACTTCTCTTTTTTAAGCAAAGTAAGATCAATAGTGAAACCTAAACAAGAGGCTGTTCAAGAAGGTAAATAACAGATTTGTACTATTTGATAAGACTTTGAAGGAACAATTCTTGAGACATGAGGAACAAGAAAATATCAAGGAATAATAAACATTTTGTAAAACCTAGGCAAGGTTAACCTCAAATTTGGCGCTGATTCCATGGCGAATAAGCCTGTACACATGACCCTTGAGTCACATCTGATTCAAGAATAAAAGAGGGTACCATCTTGACAAAAAGTAACACTAAGGAAGTTGTTTCTAAGAAGCACTGGGGGAATGATACTGCAATTACCAGTGTTTATAAATAGCATCATTTATATCCCTTTTGGGCTTGTTATGGCCCTTCTAAAAACACATCTATGAAAATATTTCTCAAAGTATCATACCACATAATAAAATGCTATTATTTGAGGGAAAAAGGGGAAGTGATCCAATAGTAAACAGATAACGGAGCATACCAAGTATAACATTTTTTTAAAAGTTTGGTATAATTTTTTAAACTATTATTTTTCTTTTATATACAAATAATGTTAAATTACACCCCTAAATTATATTTTCTACAACTGGGACTTGAAATGGCCATCTTGTTACAACTGGGACATTAAAATTGAACCTGGATTTTATTTTCAAAGCTAGCTACCTTATCCCAGTTGAATACTACCGAAGCGAGAAATGGATGCTGCCTCGCTGTCTACACCAAGGGCACTCCTTCCATTCAGCTGCGACCCTTGGAGCAGTCTTCCCAGGAGGCTGTTGCAAGGGTATGTACCGTGCACTGGCCACCACTCAGAGGCCCTCAAATGGCAAGCCTCTGCTCTCTCCTGCCAGGCTGTGAGTGAATACAGTGAAGGTGCTGAACAGAGTGCCTGGTTTCAGACATTCTGAGAATTTGGAACTTGCAGTACTCATTGACATCCTCGTGCAGACAGAAACCAAACAAGAATCAAGATGACACTCTTTGCTGTAAGCAAACTTTAAAGAATAAAGAATGCAGACAAGTCTAGGTCATTGAAAAACTGTACATCAACAATTTGAAACTACCTCTGGGTTAAATATTTAGAAGTGAACACCACATTATAATCACAGCTTGCTTGCTGTGATTTCCCATTTCCTATACTAAAAGAAATGGAGTAAAAAAGCGGTCCTGGCTAGTCATGTCTGGAGGGGCAAAAAATGCATCTGAGCATGATGGCATGTCGGCAGCAGACCTTTCTCAAGTGCTACACAAGACCTGGCCTCCTGTCCCTTCCTCATGCCAGGCCACTTTCCCCTTTTGCTCTTCGTGCTTCTGGCCCAGTGACCTGGCTCCAATGTCCTGAGCTCCTTCTTGCCTCATTGCTTTCAAATAAACTGCTTCCTCTTCCTGGAATGCCTTTCCCACCTCCCTTTCTGGGTATCCATCCTTCTCACTTCAGCGTAAAAGTCAATTTTCCAGAGATTTCTCTGGGTAGATCCCATCCCTCTCCCCCAGGCCCCAAACAGGCCAGAAGCTTTACAAGTTACACAATGTAATGAAACATTGTTTTTAAAATGTAAGTCTTCCCTTGTAAGATCCATGAAGGCAGGGCAGTAAGTTTCTATCTTCTTTTGATATATTCCTAGTGCCTAGACCAGTGCCTAGCGCTCAACAAATATTCATTAAAAGAAAAATAATTATAACATCTTCGATCCTTCAACACATTTCATGATAGTTATTATGGGCCACATTTTACAATTGACTTAACTTTGCACAGCTAGTAGAAATGGAAGATGAGAGAACACAGACTTAAAGGACTTCCTGACTCTGAAGCCAAAGCTCCAAGATCAAATTAGTTCATCAAATTAGTGCATGCCCCACAGGGGCAATCAAACAGTTCTACCTCTTCAACAGAATTTCATGATGAGAAGAATTATGATGAAAACTATTGACATTCTCTCTCTACACAAAATGGATTTATTTATACCGATTTCCTGCTGATGGGAAAACAAGTAGCTCACAATGACTTATCACACGGACTGAGTGGTTTAAGTGCCTTCTTGAGTGTAAATGAAAGAGATGTGAAGTATAAAGACACTTACCATAATTCCAGTAAGCAAGCAGACTCCTTTTCCGCAGTATGTGTTAGGTACCATGTCACCATAACCAATGGAGAGGAAAGTTATTGATATCAACCACATCGCTCCAAGGAAGTTGCTAGTAACATCCTGTTGATCATGGTACCTGAAAAACAGCAAACAAGGGCCAGTCCTTTATAATTAATCTCCAATATGATAGCTGAGTGTGGTTTGGTTCAATTCAGTGAATTTACTGTATCTCCTATGAACTGCTATATTTAGAAGTTTTCAAAGCTTGTGAATATAAATAAAATTGAGTTCCATCTAAGCAATCCCAGACAGCAGAAAGTGCCTCAACTTTATAAATAATCTGAAAGAGACTCTAAAATATGAAACAGATTCCCTCACTGGTGTAAAATGGCACATTATCTGTGTAGACTCCAACGGCCCTGCCCGTGTCTCGTCACTCCTTGCCTAGCTGATGTGCCAGACTTGGGAGACAATATGCAGCTGCCCAGTCTCACTCCTCACCTCTGTAAGCAAAATGAATCATGCTCTTCCCTTTGCTTGGATTGTGCTTTGCTACCTTTATTTCCTGAAGATGGCTAACTCCTCTTCATCCTTCAAAGCAAGTTCAAGTGGGAGCCTTTTCTGTCGTCTCTTCCCCTTGGTGCCTCCCCTGTGCTCCCTCAGTATCCTGCATATCCCTAGATCATGGGACTGACTGTATTGTAATGTCCTTCATCCTTGAACACAGAAACTGTACCTCTGATCACAGAGTCCTTGCCCATAACCAGAGCTTAATAGAAGTTGTCTGACCAGTTACACATAAAGAACTTATAGTTAAAAAGAGGGAGAGGGATACAAAGCATCCTAATCATTCTTTGAGGTGTCCAATTTTACTGGTAAGGAAGAAAGCTTTTATATCAGAAATAGGTATCCTATCACATTTTGGTTGAATTAACAGTACTAAAGAGGAAACTCTTTGTGCCCATGATGTGGACACTGGTTTTATACAATAGCACATATATACATACAACAGTAAGGCCATGAGAGTCGTCACCCTAGAAGAATTTGCTCTGGATTCACATTCTGTGTAGTCATGGGGCAGAGAGACCCTGCTCTGCTTTCTATGACAATCAGGCCCCAGACTCTCGTCACCAGAGGACTTCCTTGCTTTTCACCCACCATTGTAAAGGACCACCACTCCTTCCCATCTCTCAGATTCAGAGGGCTTTTCTTTCCTCATTTCTTCCTCTGCAAAAATATACTGATAATTGCCTGGTCCTCACGATCTTCTGCTTCACTTACTCAGTCCTGACTTTCAACTCAATTCCCCATCTGTGTCTGTGCTGCCAGGGCTGTGGTGGCAAGGAGGCTGCTCCTAGCTAGAGCCCCAGAATTAACCCTATGTGCAACCTACACTGGGCCATTGCATTCTCTATGCTTTTTATTTTTTTCTGTCCCTCATCCCATGCCAAGCTTCCTCCATCAGAAACCTAAAATGCAGATTTATCTTATATCATGGGGTATAAGCTTTTCTCCACAGTATCAGATCTTACACTCTATCTATCTTTGGACATCCAAGAGACCCATTCTTATCACATCTGTCCCTTAGCCTTCTTCCAGAGAAGTTCTCTCTAAGAAATTCTGTTTCTTGCTACTTTGGACTAAGGAAAGAGGCTCCAGGCTGGAGTGAGTGGAACCCCAGAGAAAGGGCAATGACTGATCTCCTGGAATCAAAGGGAAGGGCATGTGAACAGGCAGCCAGCCCAGTTAGGAGCATTCTGCAAGTTTCTGGTGCCAAGGTGCAGAAATCACCACTGTTCCTCATCCCAAAACAGCCTCCATGACCTGGCTGTAGAGTCCCCTCTCCCCAGACTGTCTTGGTGTAGAGGCCGTCACTGTCAAAAGGAAAGTCAGATGTATTCCTAGCATTCCAGAAAGACGGCTGAGTGTATTTCCCCTGAGAGTGTCTGTTACCTAACATACACCTAGGAAGGTGCTATGTGATTAGTGCTATGTCAAGCCACAGTATGAGCTAAACAGGATTCTGTGGACTGCTCTGGGAGCCTGCTATCCATATGTAACAGCTTTGATGGGAGGACATGGCTTTTCTTTCAAAATAAATCCCTAGAAATAAGCTCTGGATTATAACCTATTAATAACATTGGGGCTCTCTAGTTAATATTCTTCACTAAGCAGTTCCTAAAACAGAAAATACATTATCCTGTCATAAGTATGGACTATAAAGAGAGGGGAGGCAAAAGAGTTCATTTCCTATTCAATTTTTACTTGTGAGATAAAGTTTCCTCTTAGCATGATTCATATACAGATCTGATACACTTAAGCGTTAATGACCCCAGTTCCCTGATGCACACTTACTGAGTGTTCACTATGTACTCAGAGCTTAACTTGCATTTTCTCATTTGACATATGTTTTAATGCATGGACAATCTTTGGCTGAAACAGTTACATTCTTGACCTTCTCCATAACAGCAAAGTGTCCTTCAATACTTAGTTTCTAGACACTTTAGAAAATGCGCCTGGGTCCCAGTGAAATCTTCAAGTTATTTTTTCACTGCCACAGTGAGTGGCCAGAGCACTATTACTAATATCTAGCTAGGCCGGCTAGGCACGGTGGCTCATGCCTGGAATCCCAGCACTTTGGGAGGCCAAGGCAGGCAGATCTCCTGAAGTCAGGAGTTTGGGACCAGCCTGCCCAACACAGTGAAACCACATCCTACTAAAAATACAAAAATTAGTGAGGTGAGATGGTGTGTACCTGTAGTCCCAGCTATTTGGGAGGCTGAGGCAGGGGAATCACCTGAACCTGGGAGGCGGAGGTTGCAGTGAGCTGAGATTGCAAGACTCCTTCTCAAATTAAAAAATATATATCTACCTAGGCATGTGGTTTTCATAGAGCAGCTAACTACAAAGAGAAGTAAGAGATTTCATACTATAAACAAAGCTCTCTGGGGGTACCTTCATGACTGTTGCCTACAGAGAAATCTCAACTTTGAGATGGGTGTCAAAGTCTTTCTATTCTCTTCCTCCTGTAAAATAACATCTCATACTAATGTTTATGTTACACTCAGACATACTTCATTGTGAATATTCAAGGTGAGGTAATCAGGAACCAAATTAGATACTATTAGAATAATCTCCTATTTTGTTTTTCTGCAACTCAGAAACAAATATTAGACTTTTCACAGGATATTATTATTTAAAATCCAGGTTTTTAATCTATGACAGATTCACATCATTGTGAATGATTAATATTAATAGTGTTTAAAATTTTTCAAAACATTTCTTACAGAAGTTTGCTTCACAGACTTAAGACAATTCCAACCTTCTTCTCTACAAGGAGAATCATTGCGAGAAAGGCATGAAGAAATGACTCATGCAAATTTCAAGTTTTGATCAATATGAATGCTGATTTAATAAAAACACATTATATAAGATTAAAATTAGTGCAAGAAGTGCCGGTAATCTCAATCTTTTAAAATGAGGACTTTGGAGTTGTGGCATGAACTCCACGCTTCAGGGGCAAAAACCGTAAGATCAGTTTTAATGTTTTAAAAGAAGCAAAATGTTCCTTTTCTTAATTTCTATTCCTAATTCACTTCTTCATTCATTGCTGACTGTGGGTCTCACACTCTTTCTTAGATTGCAAATATGACAGCTTTCTATAACATTTGTCAAAGTTCACAGAGTTATCTTTCCCAGAGAATCAGTGCCTTCTTCCCCAGGAGAGTTGCGGCCTCTGTGCCCTGCCTCCTTCAGCATCTTCATGCTCATGACCGGCAGTTATGCTGTTCTTCACAGCTCTCTTTCTCTGCAGATGTGTTTCCCTCTGCTGGGAAACACCTTCCCCCTTTTCTCTAACCCTGATTTGTACTTTGAGGATCTGTTGGTGGGTGTCCTTCTACAGATTCCCTGTAGCTTTTGGTCAGCATGATACTCCAGCCTGGTTCCCTCTCTGTATCCCAGGAACATCTTGTAGATATCTCTAGCAACATTCGACAAATGTTACTTTGGGTCATAAGACAGTTATGTGGAATTTGCCCATCTAACATGCCCTTAGAATTGAAATTATGAAGAATCTGAAGACAAATACTATGCCTTATTCATTGTTGTACAGTCACAGATGCTTACAAAAATATAGCAGGGAAGTAATAGTTGAAGTAATTAGTGTGACAAAGGAAAACATTTCTTCAACTCCACTTACCCCAGGCCACACGCTTGATTTTTGGGATCATATGCATAGATACAAAAAGTGGATAAAAATAATTCTGGCTCATAAGTGAACGTAAATTGGATTTGTCACATTACGTTCCAAGATCTGTGTGCAACTTATAATGTATTTTTATACCTATAAAAATAATTCAGTCATGGAGGTTAACAGTTAACAAATTGTGTTCATTAATCCTTTTCTATTAAACTTACCAGTAATACTAAAAATGGCAAAAAAAATCTCATCTCAAATGTCAGCTCTGGTCTCAAATGTCAACCTTAGTTACATAGTGAAAAGTATTATGGAGATGTTAATGCATGTGATCAAACCACCATCAGTTCTCTGTCTGGAATCCATCTCTCTCCTGAAATACCACTAAAGTGACAGCAATGCATTTTTTTAAAGGTGTAAACCAACAAGAACAAAGGGAAATGAGGAGACATCGGAGAACAAGAAACAACACATTCTTATCTGAATGAGTGTATATCTTCCTTTCAGCCACGATGGAGCAACAGAGAACTAGATTTATACCTCTCCTGAAACAACTAAAAAAGCAGATAAAATATTTGATACAATGGTTATCAAGACATTGGTTATCTAGCAACAAAGAACAGTGATTCTTGAGAGGGAGAACAACTAAACTGAGCAATACAATTGCCTCCACTTTAATAACTAAAGAGAATCTCCCAGATGCAGCACAAGGAAGGAAACCCGGCACTGCCTGGAGGTCTTCCTCTGTTGAAGGAGAGGGTTGGAAATCCAGGGAGGTCAAGAATTCAAAAGGCCAAAACTCAGAGAAGATAAACCTGTACAGAGACATATGCAGAGATCTGCAAAGAGGTCTGCTTGATTATTCAGCTGAAAACTCATTAGTACCTGCCTGCAAAACTACTCAAGGCTGGAGAAGTAGCTGTACTCTACGTGAAGTG